TATTAACATTGATATATTTTTTATCAAATTTATATTTTATTCAAAAATAAAATAATTTAAAAAAAAACATAATTTATACTATATTATAAAGAATTTGACACAAACTCTTAAAAATCATTTTTTATGGGTAAATTATTGTTTATTAATACAGATTATTTAAAGTTCAAGATTGCAAGTAGATTGTGCGTAAGTACAACTTATTAAAGTTACATATCTGAATTCGTGTAACTAACCGCAGATAAACATAATCAAATAGAAGATAAACATCTCATTAAATATAAAAAATCTAAAATATAATTAGGATAATCATTGAGTTTTAACAGAATACTTAATTATTATCTTTATAAAATGTTATATTATTAAACAAAAAATAAATTATTTCATTATAGCTGATTTGATATTAACATTGATATATTATTTTTTTCTCAATTTTTATGATATCTTCAAATCTATATTTATTCATAACTAAATTCATTATTGTTTTATTAAAAACACATAAAATCGTATTATAACATCGACAGAGACAAATAATAAAATAGAACATTAACATCGAAATGTGTCTCGCTGCATTACACGAGTACTTTTCTAGTATATATTAATAGAGATCTTTGGACGAGTAGCTTAGAACTCTACATGGTTTCTAATTAACCATTTTTGTGAAAATATGTAAAAATAAAATAAAATAAATTAATATATAAAATAGTTACTTGTAAAATATATGAAAGCGATGACCAAAGATTTCCTAATCACTTCCTTAACACTTTTTCATTTGTTCACGAAAACCTTTATTTTCAAACCCTCCAACGTTGTTCATATTTACTTCCCATTTTTCAAACACGGTATTAGATACTACAAAGGGTATTCGTGTAATGTAGCGAGATTCATCTTGATTTTAATATTTCATTTTATTTTTTATCTCAGTCGATGTTATAGTATGTTCTTATGTGATTTTGAAAAAACGATAATGTTTTTATTTTTGAATAAAATATAAATTTGAAGATATCATAAAATTTTGACAAAAATATATCGATATTAGTATCAAATTAACTATTTAAAATTCTTATTTTTTATGTAATTTTTTAATTCAATTTTTTTTATTATAATTTAATTTAGGTTCAATAACAAAGTAATTTA